AATCGCCTCAGAGGCCCAGGGACTAAAAGTGGCTAGATGTCACATTAAATCTACCGGGAGGATGGAGCACTTCAAAGAGGAACGCAATCAGATCTGATGGAAAATACATTTTCTGAAAGCTACTGACAAAAAAGTAATCTTTGATGTGGATGTTGAATAACAATTGATATTGTCTTTCCTGACATTTTTCATTATTGCCGTCTTATACAGCCTACTTCATGTATTAAAGCAATATTAACTGTTTGACAGAGACAAATCCTCCAACTATCACATAAGCAATTGTTTCTGAATTGTCCTAGCCCACTGCCTGTAAAACCTGTCCCAATAACTGCTTTTTAATATGATGGTAGACTCTTTTCCCTGACTAGCTAGACAGTATCTGAGCTCCGGCATAGTTCAGTAGAGTCCGGGGAATATTAAAAATGGTTAGGTGGTTACGAGGCATCATTTGATTATAAGGAAGGAGCAGGAGTGTTTTTTGAAGGTGAGTTTTAATGAGAGAGGTCTATAAAAGTTAGTCCTTATTATTCCCCCATCTTCGGTATACATTTATGTCAAGTATATGTGTGCAAATCTCAGATCTGCTGCAATTCTTGTAGCTCAAAGGGAGAAATAAAGGAATGTACAGAAGATCTTTGTTATTTATGCAATGAAATAAAGCAATCTCTGGCTGTGCAAGCACCTATAAAATATACTGGAATTAAGTCGCCCAATATGTTCCTGGGGGAAAAAAAATGCAAGCAGATCTAGAAGGCACATGTCATTTTCAAAACCCAGGTTACCTCCTGAGGTTTGATGTCTTAACCTTCAGCTGCAAATGCATGTGATTTGACTGTAGGTATTTGTAAGGCTTAAAATCTCTAATTTTCTGATGACCTTCAGCTGCTTGAGAAATGGGAAGAAAGCTCTACAAAAGAAGAGCTGGGATTTTCTTTTTCCCCATGAAAAGGGGCTAATTGCACCCCAGAGTAAAAGATAGTAAACAAATACCCCACAATTCAAATCACAAAACCATGACAACCGTGTGTTGTAGACTCTCAAAAGTTATCATTTGCTCCTAAGCTACCCAAGGGATATGATATATATTCTTCACTTATATTATTATTATTTCCCCATATTCCCTGGAGCTTCTGGCTTTCAACGCTTTGACACTATTGTAACTCACCTTTATTTTTATGGCATAGAAGTTTTAGTCAAAGTTGCCTTCTCCACTGGGATCTGGAATGGGCTCTGTCTCCTTCACAATACTTGAAATAAGGCAGGTGACAGTGAACAAAGAGGGGGAAAACATTGCCCCCCAAAAATGAGGAATTATAAAAGAAAGCATTGCCATTTAGGAAATTTTGGTGACCTTAGGCAAGGTCTTGACCCCTCTCTGCTCTAGATCAGGGGTCAACAAACTTTTTCTTAAAGAGCCAGAGAGGACATAGTTGAGGTTTTGTGGATTACAATATCTCTGTTACAAGCACTCAATCCTGCCATTGTAGCACAAAAGCAGACAGAGACAGTACATAAATAAGTGGCATGGCTGTATTCAAATAAAACCTTAATTTAAAAAAAAACAGGTGATGAGCCAGATTTGGACCCCAGACGATGGTTTGCCAACCCAGCTCTGGACCCCTTGTCTATAAAATGGGTCTACCAGGACAAGACAAGATCTAGCTCTCTTTACTGCTGAACAGGTTAAACTTGCTAACAAATGGGACAGTGTTTTTACTTCAGAAAGGAAAAGACAATAGAAAAAAATTGATAAGACAATGATAATTACCTTCCAGGAGTCATTTGATGAATGTATTTATCTTCTCTTAATAAAATGAAAGAGATGTATCATTGCAGTAGCAACAGTATATTAACCCACTCAGAGCCAATTTTTTCTGATTATGTTTTAAGATTTAGCACAGCTTACCTTCTCTTGAAGTTCTTTACAAACTCAGGAAATGCACTATATACAATAGTTTCTCACCTAGGCCAGAGGGTGGGAGGCTGGTAAAGTGTATCTAAATTGTTTAAGAAGAGAAGCTTCTAGATAGAAAGTTGGCCTTGGCCTGGCCTTTTTTGGATGCTTGAGTAGCCCTTCCCAATAACATAAATGTAAGATAAATGAGCATGTTTTATTTATCAGAGTGCAGCAGGAACTTGGGGCTAGAGCTGTCTTCTGGTGAGCAGGAAGGTACAATTATGTGAGGGCCGTATCAGTCAGGACTAGTAAGGCTCGCTGCAATAACAAGTAACTTGAATTTCTCCATAGCCTAAAAAGCAACGAAGGTTATTTTTTGTTCCATGCTACATTCACATTACAGATCAGTAGCATGGCTCTGTTCACTGAAGGTACTCAGGGACCCAGCCTGAGGGAAACACAATCCTGACCAGGTTTCCATAATCCAGAAAACAAAGGAACAGCAATCATGGAAAACTTTGCTCAGACTCTCAAAAGTGGTACACACTGCACTTCCTCTCATATTTCATGAGCCAAAGCAAGTCCCCAAGGCCAAGGGTGACAACACTATGGTAAGGGAACAAAGTCCTTCCTGCTGACGACAATATTCTCATTTATAGACAACAGTAGTGTCTAGCTAGGGATCAAGAAGTTTCTTAGTGGAAAGAATTAAGGCTCTGATTTGTTGGCCTCTGACATATAACTTTTTTGCAAGCTCTACTGAACTGGGAAGGTATCTAGCTGGAAAGTGCACACAAGACCTCACAGAGAGACTCACCATGAAGAGGGGCAAGTCTGGATTAGCCCTGGGATCCGCTCCAGGGCCAAAAGCTTCATGGCAAAGGGCTGGTTCAGTAGGTCAGAGGCCCTCTAAGCTTAGCTCCCACCTGTAAGCATTAATGTCAGCTAAAGGAAGCTGAAATTCTGATGCTGCTGAGGCCTAAATGGGAATCTAGGCTTGCACAGGCTTCACAGACAAGACAGAGCTGCCTGTGCAGGCTCAGTTGTCAAAAGGAACCTCCCATAGAAGGGACAGAACATCAGAGACCAAGATCCTGGGTGGCCTCATCAGATTCTCAACTTCAGTGTCCCTCTCTGCTTAGAATGTGGAAGCAGGACCGACCCCACTGGACTGACTCAGTGCCTAGAAATCTTGGACACGATGGGGCAGACCTCAAAAATGAGATGGGAGCAGTGATCATGATGTGATCTTAGGCTGGCAAAGGGATCATGTCAAGTGGCACAAGGAGGAGGATCTCTTCCTTTTTTCTTTTTTTTTCGTTTTCCCGTTTTGGGTTGTTTTGAGGAGGTTCTTCCTTTCCCTTGATTTTTTTTTGGCGGCTTTTCCCCCACCCCTAAGTTAGAATTTAAAGAAATATGTTGTTGCCACTGGCTGGGAGGAGAGATGAGTTTTGCCATTTAAGCGCTAAATTGATGGAATAAAGGCTTTGGGAAACGATAAGGGGAGATGAACTTCTAAAGCTCCCAAACAACACGAAGAGGCTATGATTCAAGCTGCATCAGAGGGTCCTTTTCTAGCCCCTGAAAGTCATTTCTCGCAGCCTTTTGTTCTACCTGTGGCTCACCTGCAACTGACCCCAGTCAGTGCAAAGACTGTAGCACACCTTCATTCCCTGCTTTCCTCACTTTCTGACACCACATCTGCCCTGCCCAGGGTGACCCTCACAGCCAGCCACAAGGCTGACTTCCCCTAGAGCAAGTGCCTTACTCTTACTCGAAGGTTTGCAAACAGCCTCTGCACAACAAGCTGTATGGCCTTGGCCAAATCACTTAACCTCCCTAGCTTGGATTTCATATCTGTAAAAAGGAGATAATAATTCTTATCTCATACAGCTACTGTGAAAATTAAATATGAAACCTAAAGCATTCAGGACAGTGTCTAACACATAGTGTCCCTGGTATCTACACACTCTTCCATAGTAGCAATTCTCATGCTACCCCGTCTAGCCTTTCTGAGACAGTGAAGATAATGAAATTACTATTTGTTGAGCAACTACTATATAATCAGCAGATTAATATATTTAATCTCATCTATTTATTTAGTGTCATTTAGTCTCCACAAGAGCCCTATAAAGGAGACATGTTTGTGCCCATCTCACAGGTGAGGAAACTGAGGCATGGCTTCAGAAATCTGACCGGACTCATAGCTAGAAAACAGGTTTGGGAATGACTCTGAAGTGTTCATGTTCTCTCGCTAAGGTATGCTGCTCTCCCTGCCCTGCCTGAGCCGAACAGAGCAAGAGGAGGGGTGGGGTGAGAGAGAAAAGACCTCCTTCATGCATGAATCCTTCTCGCAAAATAAAAGGGCAGGGGGAGGAGGAGGCCCAAGAGAGGTGGAAGAGGGGACTGCAGAAAAGAATGTGGGAAAGCAAGGCCACCTCTAGCTCTTAGGAAGGCAACTGTTTCTTATCTCTTCACTCCCTGAGGACCTGCCGCTCTGCTGTCGCACAGCCAGAAGAGGACAAACTCATCCCTCTGCGAACATCTGTCTGAAGTTCATCGCAGGCCTTTCCACGCCGCAGCACCTGCTGCTGGTTCCCAGAGACCCTCGGAGAACCTTCTGCCCCTTTCCAACTTTCCTTCCCACTGGAGACACGCACCCGTCTGGGTGTAACATCCATCCCTGAGTTTCAAAACAAAGCAACTCGACCAACTGAAACCTCTTTGAAATGTCCCCGAGGATGTGCGTGCTGCCAGGCTCAGCCGCGTCTCCAGCAGCCGAGCTCGGGCCTGTGAGTCAGGAGGTCTGGATTCTAGTCCCGACTGTCACCGGCTCACTGAGGCAGGACCGCCCTGGGGGCTTGAGGAGGCCCCTCCTCACCCCGCTCATTGTGCACCCTCCAACCCTCCACAATTTGCCCAACTCCAAACAGCAAGTTCCAGATCTAACCTCTGCCCCGATGAGATGTTCCAACTCCACCCCTTTAAGTTCCGGAAAATCCCAAGGAAAGTGGAATATAGCATTGTCTTTGTCAGATGGTGCTCCTGGCCTCCCTTTTTTCATTTGAGTTCAATGTAACAACTTTAATAGAGGAGAGAAATGATTTGTCAATTAATCTCAAATATCCAAATAATTAAAATTGGGTAAAACATCCCTTAGATGCAGGAAAGACGGCATGCAAGTTTCAAAGACATTATCACAAAGAAAAATAGAGTGGAGCTCTAGAAAAGCAGAGCTCTGGAACTGAAGGTACTATTAGCAGGAAACCAACATAAAGGACGAGGAGATTTTGTGCCAAAGCACGAAGTTAGAAAATGTGTGTGATGATGCTTGAAAACTACCAGGCATGTACCTTTGTATATCACCAGTGCCTGGTGACAGCAGCAGCAGCCACTGCCTGTCCTCAGACTTTGAGTATCATTCTCCTGAAGTTATGACGGAGAAAAGTTAAGAATATTCTCTCTCAGAAGAGGGAGGGCCTCTAGGGGGCACCTACCCTATGATAGGCCCTGTTACACGTGCTTACAAGCTTTACCTCAAAGACTCCTCACCCCCGTCCTGCAGGGAAAGGACCTCGGTCCTTGGTTTTCAGATTAAGAAACTCAACTTTACAGAGGTCATAATGACTCCAAAGCCAAAAGCAGAGGCAGATTTGAACTTCAAGTCTCCTATTACAAATGCAAGTGTATCTGCCCCTGTTTCCAGCCACACTGCCTAGAAGAAGAACTCACATTCCATGCAATGAAACAGTTAGAAACGAGTATAAGAGTGTAGTAGACATCATTTCGCTGCTGAATATCCATTCACCATTGTTTTAATTAAATAGAAGCCAGTGCCCAGTGGGCACGTTCTGAGGCTGGTGGTTTTACTTTCCTGGCTGAAAAAGTACAAAGTTGTGATCCCACCTGGCCAGTGGCACCCTGACCTCCACCAACCACAGGGCTATCTTCAGAAACAGCTGGGGCCACCTGTTCAAATGAAACAGGTCTGGTCTTAGTGGCCTTGGCTTCCATCTCAGGCAGCTGTCCCCACATGGTAGAAAAGACGGCCACCAACAGTTGTAACCACACATCCTTCCAGTTCAGCAACCCCAACAGATTTTTTTTTTAAGTACTTCTTTCCCCAAAGCGCCAGCAAAAGTCCTGGGCTGATTCTTATTTGACCAGTTTTGGTCAAACACCTTTCTGAAAACCAATAGAATTGCCAGATTAAATAAAAGATGCCTTACTAAATTTGAATTCCAGATAAACAACAAATAATTTTTTAGTGTAAGTCTGTTGCATGCAATATTTGAGACATAGTGAAAAATCATAATTTCTTATCTGAAATTCAAAGTTAACTTAGTGTTGTGGCTTTTGTTGTTGCTATTGTTTTGTTAATTCTGGCAACTCTAAGAGCTAGTCATTATGGCCCAAAGGGGTAGAATAGTGGAAGACTTTGGGCCAGAGCTGGTTACACGCCCACCCCACAGCAGGAAAATGATGTCAACCTCATCTAAGCCACATGGACTGATATGGGCAGAAGGATAACTGCCCGGAAGAAAACCAGATGCCCCTCCCAAGAGAGGGGAATGGATGTTTCGCAGCCAAAAACAACAGATGTGCACTAGAATTGAAGTGGGTGCTTCTGGGGAAGAGGAACATATGTTTTTGGCAGGGGTGAGGGGCCTGTGGACCAGCTGAGTGGGAAAAAGAGACAGCCTGAGCTGACTCCTTCTCAACCTTCCAAGTTTGTGTTTTTTACCCACACACACTTTGCCAGATTGCTTGAAAAAGGCAACAGCTGTGGAAACTGACAGTTTACAGTTGTGATAAATCGCATTAGTAAAGTATTTCAATTAAAGTGATATCTAACTAAAAAACAAGAAGGCATCTCCGAACAAATAAATTAGTACTTCAATTTGTGGAGCCTTCGAGTGGAAGATTTCAACACTTACCTACTCTTCTATTGTTTTGCCTGTCTTTCCGGAGAGTGCCTGACGCAGGGGTGTGGGGGTGGTTCATTGTTTCTGCTGGAGAAAAAGCAATTAGTAAGGACACATGCAAAAAACAACAACAACAACAACAACAAAATCTGTAACTAGGCATTCATTTCACTCCCTTTAGGCATTTCTTAAGGACTAAAATCCAAACGGAGTCTCAGATCTGCCTGCAATTTCCCTTATTGTGTGTCAGAGGAGAGGACATTCAAGAACCTCCCTGTGGGGTCCACTGGACCAGCCCCATCAGCAGGGTGGCCAGGCCCCACAGGGCTGTGCTCTCTTTCCCAAGCCAATTCATCTACATCTGTAACATTTTAAAGGGACTCAGGGGCATGTCTTCCTTCCAGATTCTTTTTCCTCGGTTCAGGGTTTAGAAAGGCAGTCGCCTGCACAAAATGAATGGCCTGGGGCATCACTGAGCCCCTTGTTCTCCCAGGGTCAGGGCCAGCACAGCCCCCAGACCGCAGGGGCCCAGGGCCCTACAATGGGCTTCAGGCCTTCACCTCCCTCCCCTTCCCACCCGCCCCCCTCCTCCCCAGAAATCACATCCCTCTCTCCAAATTCCCCACTTCAGCTTGATTTTCAGCAGATCCCTTACCCTGCCAGTTAGTAATTCAGGACTAATTAGGTGATTGCTTTCATTTATGGTAGCCGTTGGGAGAGGGGGATGAAATGGCATTGCCCCTATTCTTGTTGGAAAAATAAATTACGCCCATTGTTACTTGAGATCTTATTTTTCCCCCAATCAAGCAAATTAGCAGCTTGGTTCATTTTCCCAGCAATTCACTCCCGAGCAGACGGCAGCGCCCTGGAATGTGGCTTAGAGCTGTGTGGTCAGTGCAATTGTTTGGAGCTGTTTGTGCCAACAATGAGAGGAGCCGGCTGTCTCCCAAAGGACGAGTGGCACTTGTCTTCCTTAGCCCAAAGGAGCCACTGCGAGCGGCCGCCGGGCCGGGCTTCTCTGGAAGACGTACACCGCCATCTAGTGGCTAGCGGGGCGAGCTGCAATGCTTTCGTTTCCCGGGCCTTTGCTTTTGGCCAGTAAGGACAAGCTATAAAAGCTTCCATTAGCAAGTTACTAAAAATAGGGGGGATTCTTTCTATCTCCGGGAGTGAGGAAATGTTTGCCTCAAGAGCTGTAATGAAAGTGCAACTATCAATGCTTCCATAACGTCTCTTGCATGAGTAGCTCTCCGCGGTCCTGATTTTCTGGTCCAAGTTAAGGTTCTTGGCATTGTCTGTGTGAGTGAGGTGGGGTGGTTCCCCCCTGTTCGTGTTCCCAGGCATCAGCACCTCCGGGGACCTGGCTCCTTTATCTCAGCATCCTCTCCATCACCCCTGTCTCACCAGAGCAAGCCTATTGCGAAGTCCACAGGGAGAGGCATTCAGAACCTGCCCGGTTCACCCGTGGTGTCCGGCCACTTCGGGATGGAGATCAGAGGCCCAAACAAATCCTAATACTTTTTCCAATCTGGGTGCTGAGGGACGTGCCCATTCCCGACCCCTGACAACACATTCTTCAGCGTCTTTTTTCTTTCCCTTCGTTCTACCTATATAAACAGCGCTTTTGCCTCTCCCTGGCTTACAACAGGGAACTATGATTTGCCTGGGGTTTGGGTAAAGGAAGGAAAACCTAGAGAAGCAAATAAATCCTAATGTGGACAGACTTCAGTCAGGGATTCTCTACCAGGGGTGATTTTTGCCCCCCCCCAGGGAGACATTTTGGTAATGTCATGGGACATTTTGGGTTGTCACAACTTGGGAGGCTGCTAAATATCCTACAATGCACAGGACAGTCCCCCTACAACAAAGAACTACCCAGCCCAAGATGTCAATAGTGCCACGGTTGAGGAAGCCTGGGTTAGGGTAACAAAGATTGCCCTCCAGTAATGGGGTTATGACAACACTGATTGTCCTCAAATGAGCCACACTGCACAGGCTGGATAATTCACCCTCTCCTGAGTCGGTATTTACCACCTTTCTTTCTTCATTTAGACTCTTCCATTTTAAACGTAATTTAGCTGTCTTTTAAATTTTTTTTTTTTCTTTGTGCTGCTGGGAAGAGAAAAGATTGGAAGGGGGGAGGGGAAGGTGATAGAAAAGGAGGATTAGAAGCATGACCTGTTTCTCCTGGAAGAGCTCGGCACATTCCTCTCTCAGATGTGCTTTGTGACCGAGCAGGGTACAATTAAAAGCACAATAATTTGCTTGTTATTCAAGTCAGGCATTAGTCCGGGTAATGGCGTGCTTGGTGGAGAGATGGATTTCCTTGTTAGGAGCTAAGCACAGGATTAGCTGAATTCTCCATGGAGAAATCTTGATTTGTTCAAGGTCTTTCATGTTTTCTACAGAGAAGGGATTATGTCTTCTTAAAGAGGGGCCTTGCTTAAAAAGCTACAAAGTATAAGAAAAGGATTTAGGGCAGAGGGGCCTGTGGTTAAGTAGCTGAGGGGTACAGGGAATTTTAGAGCAAAGGATTATTTAAAGCCATAAAGTTCAAAAAATAATTGGTTTAGCACTACTGGGTCAGTGCCGGCGAGTGCACTATAAAGGCAGTTAAGCATGAGCTAATATTCATTTTACTTTGGCTAATTATTGCATGGATCCAGGAGAGAGAAGGAAAAGAAAGCATGCCCCCTCCTTGGCAATCACAGAGTGCCTTGTTTTTGGTTTCTTTGCCTTACAGGCATGTTTACATGTTGGGATGCCCCAAATCGAGGCATCCCAAGGACTTTATTCGTTAAAACACAGGAAAATTGTTCTCGCAAAGCAGAACATCACACCCCTGCTCTCCCGGTGACCGAGAAGAAACCACTGCTAGCTTTAACTTTACCGATTTCAGTAACCAGAGAGGACATGAAGTAAAAATCCTGACTCCGCCAACACTCCTGCTTAAGTCTAGCTCTGTAGTTCTTAACCAGGGACAACTCTGTCCCCCAGGGGACATTTGGCAATGTCGGGAGACATTTTTTGTTGACACAACTCAAGAGGTGCCACTGGCATCTCGAGTGCAGAGGCCAGGAATGCTGGTAAATATCCTCCAATGAGCAGAATAGCCTCCTACAACAAAGAATGAGCTGACCCAAAATGTCATCACTGCCGAAATTGAAAAATCCTGGACTGGCTAGAGGCATTTTTTTCTTTTTGAGTAGATAAAGGTTTTCAGTATCCTCCCTTCCCCAAATCTATAATTGATGATTAATCACATGACCGTATTTAATATTGACTATCACACTTTTCTTCCCCTTTTCAATACTGCGCATTGCCACAATTTGAGAATGAAAGCCCTGTCCAGAGAAACCTGCCCTTGGGGTGCCAGGGCTCCCCGAAACGTGTGCTTGTGCCCACCTACTCATTCCACGACTGACATGCACCCAGGAGAGGAAAAGGCTGGCTTCTCTGCAATTTCCCCAGATTCAGAATTTTGAAGACTTGTAGATTACTCATTCCTTCCTGCAAGGAGCGTGTTCAATTAAGTCATTTGTCCCGCAGCTTCAAGCTTCAAAAGAGTTAAGAGCCCCAAGCTACAAGACATCCATTTTCTCCCTAGTGACTGATGTCTCTCATCCTGAGAGAGGTTAACGCTCTGACAGGAGCTTCCAGAAGCTAGTTAGAGCCGAGGGGCCGTGGATCAGGACTGGTCCAAGGCACAGCCATCAACTCGCTGGGAGATCCACAAAGGTTCACTCCCCCTTCATCCACAAGAGACGGGGAAGACAGAGGCCTTAAGAGGGGGAGTTAGAGGGCACTGGGGAATAAAACGAAACCCAAACAAAACCCTGCCCCTACCACCCAGGGCAGACAAACACAGAACAGCTGTGAAGAAGGAACAGTCTGCCTCAGCCCCATGGCCATCCCTTCCGCACCCTGCCCACACCCGTCTCTCTGCTTCCCCGCACCCCCAATCAGTCCACTCTCAGAACAGGGTCACCGTGATCCGGATAGATCTCATGTCACCCCTGAGCTCAAAACCCTCCAAAGGAGGAAAAGCAAAGACCCCTCTCTCCTTTCCCTCCCTCTTCCTTCCTCCCCTCCTCCAGTCTCTCCCCTCCCGCTGTTGTGTGTGTGTGTGCGCGCGCACGCGCACTAGCTTGCGCGCGCGCGCACACACACGCACACACACGTGCACTAGCTTGCGCACACACACACGCACACACACACGTGCACACACGCACACATACGTGGTGCTCCTCCTGACTTCATCTCCCTCCCAATATTCCTCACCTCCTCACGGCCTTCTCATTTCCTATTCCCTCTGTCTAGAATGTTCTCCCTCTCCAAATCTCCTGGGGCTGCTCCCTCACATCTGTTCAAATGTTCCCTTCTCATTGAGGCACCCCACTTCGTCTTCCATGCTTTATTTGCCCATTACCCTGATCACCTTGGATCCTACTAAAACTTCATGTTAATTTTGGAGTCCTGCCCCCACCCCACCCCCGCACTTCCAGATGGCAAAAGCAGGGTTTTTGTGTACTTTTTTTCCTCCAACATCTCTAAGACTAAGTATAGTGCCTGGCTCTCGGTAGGCACTCAAATATTTGTCGAATAACTGAGCAAATGAACCAGGCTACTTTGTTTCAGGTCTATCATGAATGTTCCCATTCACGCAGTACCTGTTCTCTGCCAGGAGCCTGCAGAATAGCAACCAAGTGAATGACAAAAATCTGTACTGTACCTCCTAGGGGGCATTTGTGTTATTATATATAATTGTGGCAAAATATGCAAAACATAAAATTTACTACCTTAGCCATTTTAAAGTGCTCTGTTCAGTAGTGATAATTACATTCACATTGTTGTGCAATTCATTTCCGAACTTTTTCCCTCTTGCAAAACTGAACCATACCCATACACTCATTAAACAATAACTCCCTATTCCACCCAGCCCCTGGAAGCCACCATCCTACTTTCCCAAGGAATCTGTAGCTGAAGCACAGCTGAAATAACATGGAGGATTTGTTATTTGTTTTCTCCATCTTTCTTCACATATCCTTCCCTTTTTTCCTCTCATGTCATGTCTGGGTTAGGGTAAA